AAGAGCAGAATAGAGGGGAACAATCACCTCTCTGTCCCTGCTGGCCACCCCTCTCTTGATGGAGCCCAGGAATGACTGCTCTTATTTTCATATAATGCAGGAAACAATTTCAACATCATCAACTTCAAATGGTACAACTCTTAAAAATTTTCCCATTTACAAACATTACTTACCTGTAGCTTTTTAAATTCTTCCTTCTCTCTCTTCTCTTCTTCAAGTCTCTGCTGTTTATCTTCTTCTGTTTGAAGCCGCTGAGCCAGTTCTAAATCTCCACTGCCTCCACCTATTCAGTAATAACATTCCAGAACCAGAGAACTTTACCAGGAGGTTAACAATGCTTTGATGGATTGTTTACTTGATTCTTTTCTAAGCAGACACTGACAAACACAGCTAGGCATCACTTTTCAAAAGGGATCCCGCACTATGCTGAGCTATTAGCACGGAGTACTAAACATGAATAACAGCATTCAGTCTATTAAGACTCAAATTCCTGACTTGGAGAATGTGTGTGCAGTCTCAGATGCAATTGCTTGGCAAATAGTGCAAGTATAGCTCTACTACTAAGCAAATATCTTTTGGTTACTACACTTTACATAATTATTAGTAAGCAATCCTAGTTTCTTGAATAACAGACCTATCAGTTTTTCAGATCCCCGCTAGCAATCTCAGAGTGACAAAAAGAAACTTGGGATCAGAGAGCTGGATAGTGAATCTCCAGCATATTATTAGCTATGCAAATAAAGCAAACTTATTTTGATTCCTTTACCCTATCATTATGACTCTGAACATTTACAGAAAAGAACTGAGAAAAACATCAGCAGTTTTCAAAAGACTACTTTGAATTCTTCTCATGTGAATGAGCTTCTAGATTCTGTGAAGGTAACCCTTTTATAGGGCTAGAATATGTAAAGAGATATCTTTTACATATTTATAATTCTAAGTTTTAGTTTTACCTAACATTTAGAGCATTTCCTGAATAACTGCACATAGAAAGACACTTCTCACAGCACATGTAATTAAGCAAAGCACAAGGGCAAGTGATAGAACTTGGGTTTAACTTCATTATGAATCTGTTCAGTTCTCTTTTTAAATAAAGGAATGTTTTGTTTAAATTTCATATGAGATTCTGTACTGCAACATGCAAGTCTTCTCAAAGATTATCAAGCTTGCATCCTTTCAAGTACCTTCTGGACAGCTGTGTTCCTCTAAGTGTAAATCCACATGTTCCTCGAGAATCTGAATGTTTGTACAGGTAAGACCACATATTGGACATTCATATAGCTGTTCAACATTCTCTGTGTCTGAAAAAGAAATACAGTTTCTTGCTTAATGCAATTCCTGGTCATTCTTTTCTGCTGTTTTTAAGAATCATCCCCCAGCAGCTCAAGATAAACAAAAAGAATTGTGCTGGTATTGAAATTCTCCAAGGAAGGCAGCATATGCCTTGGTTACTAGCTATGGCTCTTAACCACTTATGAATTCATATTTAAATACCTGTAAAGTTTGAAGATATATTTTCCCTCTTCCAATTCAGCAAAATTTTCCCTATTAAACTTACCACAACTAGCTATAATATTTTTTATTAAGGCCTACAAAATGCCAATCAAATATCAAACCTTTAATGAAAAGATATGTCTTGCTGGTGGAAGAACTCTTGCTTACAAAATCTTAATGCTTGTACGACAACTCAGCAATCAGCAGGCAGAAATGACAGCTGCAGTGCTGTCATTTTTTTAATTAATTTTCCTGCATTTCCTCAGCTATTTCTTCTGCACTTTTAGTGTTATTATGAAGAGTAGCATATAACAGCTAAAGTTCAGAAGATCATCTGGAGATCACCAGGACCCTCAAACCATGGTCATGTCAATCAGGCTCAGGGTTATTACTCAGGGTCTTTTCCAGTCACCTTTCTGAGATTGGAAACTCCATAATGTTCTCATTCCAGTGTTTGACAAGTCTCGCAGTAACAGTTTTCTTATGTTTCAGTGGTAGCTCCTTATTTCACTTGCTGCCTGCAGTTCTGCCACTGCATGCTACGAAGACTTAACCTTCAGTGCCCTCTCTTTGAGTCACCTAGCCTCAGAATCCAACTCATCTGAGTTGGAAGGTGCCTTTAATAGCTATCTAATTCAACTGCCCTGCAAGGAACGCTGACACCTACAACTCCACCAGGGTGCTCAGCCCCATCCAGCCTGACCTTGAGTGTCTCCCAGGGATGGAGCTTCCACCACCTCTCTGGACAGGCTGCGTCAGTGCTTCACTGTCCCTACTGTAAAAAACTTCTTCCTAACATCTAAAATAAATTTCTCTTTTAGTTTGAAACCATTTCCCTTTATCCTATCCACGCACACCCTGTGGTGAGGAGACAGCCCCTTCCTTCTTACTTCCCCTTTAAGTACTGAAAGGCTGCTCTCAGGTCTCCCCAGAGCCTCCTTCTTCTGGACAGCCCCAGATTTCTCAGCCAGTCCTCACAGGAGAGGTGTTCCATCCCTTGGGTTTTTGTAGCCCTTCTCCATCAGGTCTATATCTCTCCTGTACTGAGGACTCCAGCAGAATATGGAGAATAACATACGGAGCAGAACATACCATGCCGTCGATTACACCGTCACGCTCCGCATTCTTAGCATCATTCCTTTTCCCTGCCAGCACAGCCAACGCGTTACACCAGCCATACCACGCCGTTATGGGAACACCCACCTGCGCCGAGCAACCGCCCGTGCCGCGCCCTGACGTGCGCTTCCAGCTGGCGCCCCGCCGCCTCCCCGCAGAAAGGGCACTCGAGCTCGGGGCTGCCGGGCAGCGGCTGGGGCTCCGGGTGCGCGGCCTCCACGTGCCGGCGCAGCTCCTCGTAGCCCGAGGCGGCGGCGCTGCAGAACGGGCAGCGAGGCCGTCGGTCCGGGTGGGCGCGATTCGCGTGACGCCGCGCCGCCGCTTCCGAGGGCAGCACCTGTCCGCAGATACCGCACACCGACATGGCGGCCCCACGGTCCGCTCGGAAGCCCCGTCCCCTTCCCGGGGCGGCGGAGGCTACGCCCGCCCTTCGCCGCCGCGCGGGGCCTGCTGGGAGCGGCGAGGCCCGCCCGTGGGCAGTGCGGCGCGCGGCGGGGCGGCGGCCGCCATCTTGCGCTCTAGCTGGGGGCCGAGCGCCGCGCTCCGCGCAAAGCGCAGCGGGGTTCTCTCGCCTCGGGGGCGGCGGGCGCCGTGCGTTCCCGCTGCGATGGGTAAGAGCCGGTGGGTCGGGGTGGGCCGCGTTCGGCGTGCGGGCGGGGCGCGGTGCCCAGTGCTGCGTGGCCGGGCTCCTGCCTGCCCGGAGGCGCTGGGCTGTGGCGGGGCGATGCCGCGCACGGTGCCGGGACTGTCCCGCAGCGCCGGGACGGGGGCTGCCCTCCTCCCGCCGCCGGCAAGAGCGCTTCCCCGTTGTCTTTTCGAGGGACGGGAAGCGTCGCTAGCCGAGCCGAGGCCGGGTGCCCTCCGTCCGAGCAGCTGACAAGCGAGACTGGATCTGACGCGGCGCCCAGCGCGCCCTGGGCCGGGCGAGGGCTTCGCGCGGTCTCTCCGGCCCTCCGGGCACTGAGGGGCAGCGAGGGGAGCCCTGCGGCGGGGCGGCCGCCACCGGGGCACAACAGGTGGGCGGTGTGTGGGTTGTGGCGGCCGCGGGGGGCGGTGATAACGCAGGCGTAGCAGATGTGTGGTCTGGATACAGTCGTGATGCCTGAGTAGATAAAGCACCGCTCGACTGTCTGCCCTTCTGGTTCTTGTTCCGAAGCCCTCGTGGGACGGGGCCGAAGCTATGGTTTCTGTAGCTTTTCTTTTTGAGGAGAGCTTCCTTCTGCTTGGTCTTTTGTATAGAGCTTGGGTTACTTTGGGGTTACTTTTAATACAGGCTTCTCAGCTTTGGTTCCTTACCTGGCCTGGCAGGTGTACTGGCCCAACTCATTCCTCAAGGCATGAGTGATTAAGAAGGCGATGGTGTTTGAGGACTAGTTAAGAGTTGCCAGACAAAATGCTTTTGTTAAATTGTACTTTGGAAGCTCTGTGAGTTAGAAGACAGTGACTTCATACGGCATCTTACGCAGCTCTGTGTCCAGAAATGGCAATAATTTGTAAAGGTTCTCATGGAGCAGTTGTGTTTGGTTGAAACAGCTTGCTGACCCCTCGGGGTGTCCTGATGGTGCCAGCCTAACAATGTGAGCTGGTTGCTTTTTACAGCCTGTGTTTGTTACTCAGCAGGCCTTGATACTGCTGATATTAAACAAAATGAAAAATAATAATAATAATAATCTCAGCATGGGAGTTGGAAGAGAACTGTGACCATGGTTCAGATAGGCTTATGCATGTTTCTTTGTTGTGAAAGAATTCCAAACAGCTGAATTTGCTTAGAGTATTGAATCACAGTTTTGACAGTTATTTCTTCAAATGAAGGCTATGGTTTTAGCTTTGAATATTAGCACTGGGCTGTTCACAACCTTTTTCAGTCAGTTTGATCATTTCAGTAGCAGAATCATGTTGTATCACTCTTTTCTTTATGCAGCTGATATGGCTCACAGGCAGATTCTAATCTTCCCTGTACATCAAAAGAACTGTTAATTAAGGATGAGTCATTTTTATTATTATTATTATTATTATTTTAAATTTAAAATTGCGAAGGAATACTTGTCTGGATGCTATTAACCATTGATTCTTTTTTTCCTGTAGAGTTTTTCTGTATACAGATTAAAAGGAAATTTAGCATAACCTTTAGATCATGTTTTGCATTTCTATGATAGGTATTAAGAAAGTAATGAAGAAACTATGCAGTGAGGCAATAAGTGAAGCAGTAATTACAGCAGGTTTTCTTCTGGGATTTGTTTTTGAGAGAAGAAACCAAATTCCTGTACTTGCTGATGGTGACAGACATTTATTCCTTCAAATTTAGGTCAAAATTTAGCAACATAATGGTTTTGCTTTTATTGTCTTATTTTGCTCCTAAGATCAGTAACTTCATTTTGCAGTTGCTTATGCTCCTTAATGAGGTGCCTGATCTCTGAAGTGACTTGTGGTTTAATCTGCAGTTCAGAAATGGCTGTATAGGAAAGATGTTTCTATGATTTCTCTTTTGGAGATTTTTGTTGGTGAACTGAGTGTTGCCAGCAGCTACAGGAGTATATACCTGTTGCTTTAGATACTTTTCTAGTATGAGAGATAGTAGGTTTGCCTTTCAAGGTTTGGCCTGTTGCAGTGATTCCTTTTTTTTCTTCTTCTTTTTTTTTTTTTTTATAGACATCATGTCAAGCCCAGGGAAAGATAACTTCAGAATGAAAAGCTACAAAAATAATGCACTTAATCCTCAAGAAATGCGCAGACGAAGAGAAGAGGAAGGAATCCAGCTTCGGAAACAGAAAAGGGAAGAACAAGTAAGCATTTTGATGAGCTGTTAACTGTTAAGTGCTCATGAAGTTGAATTCAGATATGTGAAAGGACTTGAGCAGATTCCTCCTGTTAAGTAGAAGCTAGAGCACCAAATTAAAAGTCTGTTTTCTGTGCAGTCTTGGGGAGCACCAGGCACCTCTCAGTAGGATTATAAATCAGAAAGCTGAACAGAAGCCCTATAGGTCACTGTGGCATTTGAAGTAGAGACCTGTGTCTTAAATCTAGTCCTTAGTCTCGTTTTCAACATGTGAGTGGAAGACTGAGCTGAAAGGCTAACCTTATTTCTGGTAAGAATGGGAAAACCTGCATTCTCTTCTATAGTTTGCACCAGAGATGTACTATTAGAAGTGAGAAGAATGTACTTCAAATTGCCCGAGAGTTTCTCTACCATAGCCTAGTGTAGTGGTCAACAAATAGTAGTCTGTAAACATGAATTTACAGATATTTTAATACAATATTTAAGTTGTCTTTATTGATTTTGATTTTTATTTTTTAGTGATTAGAGTACTGTATAATTTCATAGTTGGTGATAATTCCTTTCCCCAAAATATTTAGTAGTTCATTGCCTGGAAAATGAGGAATATAGTTTGTTCTTCTGCTTACTCTAAAGTGGCTGACTTTTGTCTCCCACCACCTAGTGTGTCCCAGGCACTGATCTACAGTCCCCTCTGAGGTGGGCGTGCTTACCCTTCTCCTGGGAGAGTGGTGCTACTGCATGGAAAAAGAATTTATATTAGTTGGGCCAGAGAGGTAAGAGTAAGAGGTAGTATGCTGCTGGAGCATTTACCTGTGATTGAGTTCATCTGAATTGCAGTTCCTGCTGAAAGTTCTGTGTATTTTGTAATAAGTGCTCCGTAGGGAAATAGTTTATTAAAACAAACAAAGAGAAAAACATTGTTTCCCATGCTGAATGTTGTAATAGTTGAGAATACCTTGACCATAATTGCTGGACTGGTGTTTTCAGCTCCTTTAGCACTGGTAGGATCAAGTCTGTGCAGGGAAATGAGACTGGTTTTGCTCCAGAAGAAGTTATAAATTGTAGATAGACTGTCTTCCTGGACAAAAATGGTTTATGTTTTTGTCATTTACATTTTACAAGATCCTGTATGGCATTGTTGAGTGCTAGGAAGAATGGCTGATTTTCTAGAAGAGGAACGTTGATTCTTCTTCCATTTGTTGGTTGTTTTAATTATAAAACCTTGTTTATGTTCAGGACTGTGCAGTTATTAGGGTCAAAGTTTGTGCCCAATCCAGAGTTTGATCAAGCAAAGGAGAGAATGCTTTGTTTTAAGTTCCTATTTGAAATATAACTACATGTACACATGGTGTTGCTCATTTAATTTTGGCAACATATGACCACAGAAATACTGAAATGCCTAGACAACTTTGAGAACAAAACTTTCTTTGGTACTTAACAGGAGTTTTCATTATGCTTACTGATGAAATCTGAGACACTCAGTGGTCTGAGATTCTAACATTTATTTTTAAGGTTACCAACATGATATTCTTAGAATTGTTAATAATTGCGATTTTAAGTGTAATAGTCAATTAAAGGTACTAATTTTGGATTTGGTCTGTGAAAATAAACAGGCTAACGTGATTGTTATGTTTGCATGCTAGTAAATGAGGAGGTACTCATTAAGCATAGCTTATTGAATACTGCAGCACAGGTATGTATTTTAAATATTCATGGTGTTTGAAGCCAGTACCAAAACTTTTTTTGGATATAGAGAACATTTAAGGTTACATAATTTGAAATTTGCCTTCAGTCTACGTCATTTTTGTCCAACTATTATTTAAACACTTTTAGTTCTAGTTTTCCTTTGACTGTATACTAAATGTAGCTACTGTTCAACTGGCATGCAAGGAGATTTTACGCTTTCTTTTAAAGTGTGGAGTGCAGTGTGCTGAAACACAGACTTTGGCTTTGTGTTGATATTTTTTGCCTCAAAATTAAGAAAGAATACTGTTTCCCTCTTAAAAATAAATGCTAAACTACGAAGTATAAAACAATGAAAATAAAAAGATTTGTATCATCGTCATGTTTGTCTGAAAGACTTATAGATCTTTTCTTTGCTCAACACCTTTGTTTTTTTTTAAAATTTTCGCCTGAAGTATTGCAGCACTATTTATCAAGATGCCGAATATAGCAGTGTTTTTTTCTGTTACGTTCTTAAAACTTTAAAGTAAAATTCCATTTGCGTGGATGAACTGGAAGGTGAGTGGTTGAAGTGTTTTGACTAGTATGGGTGAAAGCCATTGTCTTCAAGTAATAATCAGTATCCATTCTGTGATAAACTCCCCCCACATTTCTTCTTTGTTTAGCTCTTTAAACGCCGAAATGTTTCTCTCCCGGGAAATGAAGAATCTATGGTGGAAAGTCCAATTCAGGATCCTGACATCAGCTCTACTGTACCTATTCCAGAGGTAATCACTCTAGAATGTTTAGAATTCTATGTGTTTATACTGTTCCTACAAAATCTCTATTTCATTTTTAGGAAGAAGTTATTACAGTAGATATGGTGCAGATGATTTTCTCAGATGATCCTGATCAGCAACTCACAGCAACTCAGAAATTCAGAAAATTGC